TTGTGGCCTAGGACTAATATATGTTAAAAATGTGATCAATATTTCAAGAAGTAGGAAGAGAAATAAATCGACCAAGTTCGAGTGAATTAAGAAATAAAAAAAAAGAGTCAAAATGTCGAGAGAAGCATCGAGGAAATAAAGGAGATTAAGTGAACACAAAGTGCGACAAAACTAAAAAAAAGAAGAAATGAATAAGAGAAGAGAAAATAAAAAAATGACCAAAGCAATGTATGAAACAGAAACAATTTTAACGAAAGGGTCAAAAAGTAGAGAAAAATAATCGAAAGAGAATGAATAAGAAATTCAAAAAAAATATATGTAGATGTTGCAATAATTTTATGCGAAAGAGATCGTAGTAACGTGTATAGATTCTCATAAAATAAAAACGTGACACTCTGATTGGTGATTCTTATACTCACCTGGATGCTGTATATGGAATGGCTACACATACGAGTTGTTAGTATGTTATATTTACGACCAGATGTCCGTGTTTCGAGTCTCCATATAGTCGATTTGACAAGCCGTGGCTTCTCAGTAATATCAACCTATGTGGCAACATCCCACCTTACACAACAGTTTGTCTATGTCTAAAAACATGACAGAATGTGAGCTAAGACTTATCAAATTCGGACGGGGACGAATCTCTTCAGGAAATATGTATGTTCCTTCTATATACACACATATAATCTCTGGTTTGCTCTGGGGTAGGATCATCTGCTAAGAATGGTTAGCTAATCATTGTGCAGACGCGAGCTCAGAGCTATATCATGTTTCGCCAATAACTACAGAGGTAAGTTGTGTTATATACTTCAGAAGGTCATCGTAATCAACTCTAGAACAAATCGATCGATCGATAAATCGATTGGAACAATGGTTGGTTCTTGCTGTCGTAATGACTTCAGTTGCCATTGGTGATCACTTGTTTTGGAAATTTAAAGTTGAAATATTTTTTATACAGATAGAAATAGACAAATGAAGGTAAACTCTCAGTACCATTTAGTCCTGGAACTGACGATATATTATATCCGGCATCAAGGCCGCTGATCGTGATATTGACGTACTGAGGAGGATTGTGGAACTAGCCCTCAGTTGCTGCTGTTCCCAGGTCAACCTTGATACATGGTGGTAACCCCTGTTCGGCTATTGTCAAATAGTGAACCACTCAAGCAAAATCACTTAGAATGTATAAAATTAAATTTCAATACTGAAAACACCAGCAATACATTTTATATAAAAAGACCAATACATTAGTAAAATAAGCAGCAATGCATTTTATCTCTAGTTGAACGTATACAAATGTATTTAAAATGCATTTTGCTTAAAACATAAAATTTGGCTCTTCCACTCAGTTTTGATGTAAAAATGAAAAAACAATGCATTGTTGAAGATTTCTTTTCTACTTAAATTTAAAGCCAAATTTACTATTTCCAGTAAGCAAAGTACTCTGGTGTATATCAAATAGAAAATATCTTGACCGGAATCTCAAATTTTTGTTCCATTGTTTAAATCGTTTAAAATCAGTCATTTTTGACACAATTCTAAGTTAATTTTATGTTTTAAAGATCTTTTTAAAATAAAATATACTTTTTCTGAAAATTCCTTAGGCGAATATTAGCTGATTGAAACTATAATTAATATGATTTGAAAAAATATTATTTACTTTCATCGCCATATTTATTACAACATTTCGGCCGTAGTACGCTCTGGCCTTCTACAGTTGGTTGGAATGACGGTATGAACCCTTTATTTCGATCACTGGGGTAGACTGTTCTAGTTCCACGTGCCATGTTTGATGGATGTCAGTTATCAGTTATCCCCTGTTAATTTTCCCTCTGAAAGTTCTGCATTGCCTTAACAGAATATTGAACTCACACTCTTTGAGTGTTGGTTAGATCCAGTGACAGGACTCAAAGAGTGAGAGTTCAATACAGGAGATAACTGATATCCATTTAAAATGGCACGTAGAACGAGAACAGTCTACCCCAGTGATCGAAATAAAGGGTTCATATCGTCATTCCAAACAACTGTAGAAGGCCGAAACGTTGTAATAAATATGGCGACTATAATAAGTCCGAATAATGTAAATAATGTACATAATACCTCATCCCAGAAATTGTTGTGGAGTTATTTCGCAGTGGAAGCTCGTATTTGTACTCAGTCGGTCCTAAAATAGGTTCAACATACAAAACGTTAGGAACTTGATATAATAGTTATAACGCAGTGTAATCTAGTTGTGGTCGCTGATACTTTAGTATTCGACTAACTGACGTCCGACATCGACTGACTGACCGATGATATTTAGTCACCCCCCCACGAGGGTATCATGTGGCACAAGGCCGGTTTAACGTGGGATCTCCGAGCCCGTGGGCTAGGCCAAAAATATTCCCATTGAACCCGTATAAACGGGTTCAGGGTCGGTTTACCTCCCCGAATGAGAATCCCTCCTTCGGCGTAGCCTCCTTCGTGTTCCTGCCCGCCCAAAGGCAAAGAGTTCAACCGATCAGCCAGTCGACTGACTGACCGATATTCAATAACTCCCCCCCAACTGAATCAGCATGTGACACAAGGTCAGTTATTTAATGTGAGATAACCAAGCCTGTGGGCTCGACCCAAAAATATGTCCATTGAACCCGTATAAACGGGCTCAGGGCCGGTTTACCTCCCCGAACGAGACCCCGCCCCCGGCGTAGCCTCCTTCGGGTTCCTCCCCGCCTGAAGGAAGAGAGTTCAACCGATCAGCCAATCGACTGACTGATCGACGATATTTAGTCACCACCCCCCACGAGTGTATTATGTGGCACAAGGCCGGTTTAACGTGGGATCTCCGAGACCGTGTGCTAGGCCAAAAATATGCCCATTGAACCCGCATAAACGGGTTCAGGTTCGGTTTACCTCCCCGAAAGAGAATACGCCCTTCGGCGTAGCCTCTTTAGCGTTCCACCCCGTCCGAAGGCAGAGAGTTCAACCGATCTAATACTAATTGAAGGGATTCCTGGAAGCCCATGCCTTAAAGAAATACAAAGAAATGTCCTCATGAGTCCTTTTGTGTGTCTGTGTGTTTTAGTGTGTGTGTCAGTGAAAAATGTCATGATGCCATTTCTAACCTTAGGTCTCTGGGCGGGACATGAAACGAAATGTGAACACGCCGGAAATCAAAGGAAATAATAATAATAATAATAATAATAATGAGAAAAATAATAATGAGAATAATAATAATACGCCAATACCAGAAAAATGCATAGGCAAATGAGGATGTACCACCCGATATCAGTTGTGTCAGGTTGTACGGCATTGGAACCCAATGAATATAAAAACCGACATGACAGAGCGGGTCAATATCTGTATAGGAAAATATGCAACATTTACGGGAGGGAAACTGCAAGAAATTGAACATAATTCAGACCCAGTTACAGATATTGTATTCGACTTGACAGAACAATCAGAGCTAATAGCCCAGGCATCACGATCAAAGTCAACGAAAACCAGAATATCCTTTCTTATTGACATGACAGCCCCTACAGATTGTATTGTACCTATGAAGATCTTTACAAAGCTATCCAAGTACAAGCACCTCGAAATCGAAATCTCAAACATGTGGCACATTAGGGCATCAACAATTCCAGTTATAGTCGGATCACCCGGTTTGATTGAAAAACTTTCCTAAAGATTTATTTGTTGAAAGGTTCCCTCATAGCCTAAGTCTTAAATAAATACAAAAATTGTAATCCCAAATAAAGCTCTCACCTCACGAAGAGATTTATATATGCAAAATATATCTGTTTTGAGTTTTTATTTATTTTTTATTTTTTTTACAACTATGCTCAGAGGAAAATGTCATGAAGTCATTTCTGCTCTTAGATCGTTGGTTGGGATCAAGGTAAGCAATGTGCATACAAAAGAAATCAAAGAAGGTCGAAGGAGAATAATTATTAATAATAATAAAAAAACAAACAAAATCATATATTTGCTAATAAATTTAAGTAGTAAAACACAAGAACAATACAAGTTAGATTGCGCCTCTATGGAGTCTTGTGCTTCCTTGCTTTTCATAAATCATATATTGATATCAATTTGTGTCTAAAATATTTCATGTTCTAAGACACACGCACATTTTTATACGCGTTTGTGCTGGAGAAACTCACAAAGTTTCTGTCAGGATATGCTATGTATTGTAATCATGTGTGTCTGTGTATTATCCCACACACATAAACACGCATAAACACACACATAAACACGCACACTGACACACACACACACACACACACACACACACACATATATATATATATATATATATATATATATATATATATATGAGTGAGTATAAGTGTGTTAAATATGTGTGTATGCAAAATTTAGATGCAAACCTCTTACTAGCGTATCTTTTCACCTCTCTAACCAAACATATATCCTTAAAATAAGCAAAGAAATAGATAAAAAAAAATCCCCTCTTCTAAGTAAACAAGAAAAACGAAGCTATGAAGAAATAAGATAGAACAAACAAAAATACTTATAAAAAAAGGATACAAAGAAAATCAAAACAAGAAGCCTTCGTGAAAAACGCGCTGAAAGCCACGGGCCAATGTCTGTGAGCAGGCACACTTTCCGCGGGCCATTTTCTTTCTGATATATATTTTTTTTTTCTTGTCCATTTTTTTTCTTTTCCTTTTTTGCAATTGGACACTGCATCTGACAAACATTTCGCTTGCAAAGACATCAAATGCGTAATATGCGCTCATCAATTTAGCCCCCGAGTAGCCCTAAGGCGAATACATCATGTCACTGTCCATCGTTTGGTTTTTCTCCTCGCATTGTTGTTTTCTATTTAAGGGAGTGAAGCAAGAAGAAAGAGGTATTTGGGGTGGATAACAGCTTTCGCACACGTGCACATACACACACACACACACACACACACATATATATATATATATATGTGTGTTCGAAATCTATAGGATATTTTGATTTGGCAAGTGAATGTTGCGTCTTCCGTTGTAATTTTGATGTTTCTTATTTCCGAGTCTGTTATTTTATTTTATTTCTTATCTAATTTGCTTCTATTTATTTTCTTCGTTCCCCATTTTCTTTATTCACTTCCCATTATCCTATATCTTCTCTTTTCTCCTCTCTTTCCTCCACCTTTCATTATTTCCTTCCCTCTTTTCTGTCGTTCTCTCATTCTTTCTCTAATTAGGGTTTTTTTTTAACATTCCTTTTCTTGTATTCTTTATATCCCTAAAAACATCTTTCTCCCCTTCCTCATCACTAATTCCCATACTTTTGATTTCTTTCAGTCAGTTATGCGCCATGCGTGATACACGCTTAGACAATAATGTATCTTACGAGACATGACTGACGAGGCTGAATTTTCCCGCTGTAGGTTTCCATTTTCTTTCTGGTAGACCAGTTGCCACTCAAGACTATAGAAATCGGTCTGTCCCGGAAGCGAGGATTTATACCTTTCCTAAGGGTATTAATACGTAAGTGAATGTAATGGTCTCGACTGGAATTCGAAACTCGGCTCTCCGATTCCTCAAACCGATCCGGGATCCATTGCACCACCTTACCTCCTCTCGATTCCCACTTTCATTTTTTATATTGTGATCGCTTTAGGAAGAAATGATAAATAACTGACTATAACAGGGGATTAATACAACTATGAAATTGGGATTCCTCCATTCTGGTTGGTCCAAAAATCTACACTGTCACTTATTAATATTGATTTCTTTCAATTTGTTGCATCCTTTCAGAGCGTGTAACGATGACAATACATCACTGCCTATCTCTCATATCCCTTAGTAACATTTTAACTTTACCAAGCATCCCATCACTTGCTCGCCCATCCATTCACATAACCACGTCTCGTAGGTGTCCGGTTGCTTTTCCCTGTCCCTATTACTAACCACATACCCTGTGCGTATCAGACACTCCAAAGCTTAATTTCTCGCTATCTATACAAGAAACGTCAACTTTTCTGTTTCGGAGTATAACTGTGTTATATAGGAATAAAGTGTTGCTGCCGACACATGAGTTTGAACATAGATGGCCAGAGAGTAAACACAGACGATGCCATTATTGAATTTAAGTGGATCACGTGACCATAGAGGAAACGCATATATAGGAAAACGCGTGACATCTACATTGATCGATATTTATATTCTATCCACTATTAATAATCGGATCACTATTTCTAATCTATCCTCTATTAATATACGGACCGCTATTCTCTTCTCTATACTATTCTCTATTCTGATCAATACGGTTGTTACATTCGAGCGAGTATTATCGAGTAAGTACTATTAGTGTAAGTGTTATTCGAAGGCGTCTGACTTGTATTGTTCAAAGGCTTATTATAGTTATATCTGCGGATACAAAAGTCTCTACTACAAGGAGCATTACAAAATAACAACGAGTATTCGTTGGTATTAAATAATGGCAACGAGGGTTCGTTGACATCACAAAAACCATTTTTTTTGTTTCCATTTTCCTTAAAATTTCTTCATTGCTAACGCAATCCTTCCATGGTATTCTCAGCATCCTTCTGTAGAAACATATTTCTGTTGCCTTCAGTTTATACTTCATCTATGATGAGATTTTCAAACATCCAGAAGAAAGTTATTATATAAATGTTCAGCAATCTTTACTTTATTTCTCATTACTCTGTTTATTTTTTTTAGAATTCATCTTTTACTAATCCAATACGCGGTCAAATTTCATTGTCGCATTTTCCATCTTTTTCTACTCCTCCTAAAAATAATTATTTATCTCTAGTTTATAAAGACAATTTTCTGATGTCTTTCATCCCCGACATTAATTTTTCCATCTTCTTCACATTCAAAGTTTCTTTAATCAAGGATGACTATGTGGCTGTTCGATTTATTTTAAATTATTTCTTTAACTTTCGCCTTTTCCTTCAAGCCATATTTTTGTGAACAGACAGCGAAAGTAAAACCTTTTTAAATGCCAAAAAAGAAATTGCAACGTTATAGCCAATCAGATGCATCATCCAGTTATGCAATGCGGGGACGTAACTTCCGGTAAATCCGGAAATGGAACACACATATTTTGCTTGCCACCATTTTCTTTATTTGCTCCTCGCAATTTTTCTGCATTTTCATTAACTTCTCTTCCACAAATCATAACAATAACGAAAATAATAACATCATCTAATATTTTTGATAATCTAGATGCTATATTCTTCTCCTATTAATGTCTGTGTTATGAATAATTTCGTTATTAAATTAGGACTAAATGCAATTTATACTGTTTTGTTGGATTTATACATTTTATCTTAAACTTATCATTATTAACGGCAAATATATTATTATTATTATTATTATTATTATTATTATTATTATTGTTGTTGTTGTTGTTGTTGTTGTTAATAATAATAATAATAATAATACATACATACATACATACATACATACATACATACATACATACAATTGCAAACAGGTGCCAATATCTGGTTGTTATTGTTGGAGATTAAAGCACTATTTATCTAAGATAACCAGCAACAATGAAGGCATCTTTACCAGCTGTTGTCTCGTCATTGTATAAAGAGTCTCTTTATTTAATATACTACTTTTTGCATTCACCTATTCTGAAAATATATCCTGTTATCACTAAAGCCCGTTTCTTCAAATCCGCAACAACTTTGACAGCCAACACATGCACCACTGAGAATTCTGTTCTTTTATTATTTTCCAAATCATTAGCTCTAATTTCTGATATTTTAATCCATTTACAACTGCTCCAGTAATGATAGTCACTACTTAAAATTATGGCAAGCATTATTCTTAGATGTTGATTGCAATTTAGCTTCTTGATTTTTCGAATTTTTTTTCTCTCTGCCGTGTTCCACTTGAAAAGCCATAACGGCGACAGTCGGGATTCGTTTCTGACTTTCATTGTTAATATGTTAATGCTTAATATATTTATTGCTTCAAAATCAGCGACATATTGGTATATATATATATATATATATATATATATATATATATATATATATATATATATATATATATATATATATTTAGTTGGATTGATGTGAGTTTGGCCTGGGTTTCACGCATTGCGATCGTTGTCTGACGGTCGCAAAAAGAAAACCCAGGTTAACAAACTCACATCAATCCAACCAAATATGTTAGCCCTGTCTCTGATATTGAGCGCTTTCTAATAAGTACCGCGTATATATATATATATATATATATATATATATATATATATATATATATATATATATATATATATATATAGTTCAAGCGCCCTACGAGGCTAGCATCCTGCTCTCACTCTTTCACTGTCGAAACTACTAAATGTAGCCGTCTTTTATACTCCAATAGCTTCATGTCTCGCACCTCTCGCCTGTGCAACTCCCTTCGCTATTCCATTATCCCTGAGAGCTATAATCTCCAACTATTCAAATGTAATGTCAATCGACATCTCCAGTTGCCTTGATTTATCCACTATCCTTCTCCTCATCTTTTCCTCTATCACTCTTATCTGATCTTGCTCCAAATCTTCTGTAACCCCTTGAATCATTGTGGCTTCCCGCCTTGCTTGGTGTGAAACGCTTAAATATATATATATATTAAATATATATATATATATATATATATATATATATATATATATATATATATATATATATATATATACACACATACATATATATATATACACACATGTACATATATATATATATATGTATATGTGTGTATATATATATATATATATATATTTATAATTACACACACACACATATATATATATATATATCACTAAATGTAGGAAAGTTCAATTATATAAATATGCCGCAACCAGTAAGATTCAAATTCACTATTTGACCGCCTTGATGTCCATTACGCCACGGCCAGTCTTCAAATAGGACAGTTTAGACACAAGACCACATGTATAAGGCACCCTGTGTGTACTGTGTATATTAGTAATGTTTTATGAGATTAGTTTACCAACGATTAACTAACGCCATAGTTCAATTTGGTGACTCAGTCCGAAGTGTTTGTCACCTCGTGTCGATTGATGTCTACGAGGGACCTACATGTTTAACTTGCAAATCATTAGAATTAACTTGACGCACCCTCTGAATTATTCCGTGTGAGTGGACTTTATAAGTGATGTCACTTAACGGTGACGTGCGGAAATTTATATAAACTTCTAATATGTAAATTTCCTGCTTTATTCTGGCACTGACTGTGTTTAGTCGATAAAATGAACGGGACGGCGCCATATTGTCGTTATTGTCATTATTATTACTGCTGTTGCAGTAGTAAAATTTCGTTAGCCATTAATTCTCTTAAGAGATGAAACGAATGTCACTTCCATATATTAAAACCATCGTCGAGTCCAATCCAATATCTTAGTAATTATTCAATGAAAATATGACTTTTGCTCTACCTAATGAAATATGACCGTTAAGCGGAAAAAAAAAGAATTACTCCACTGGTTTTCCTTAATTCAATTATAAAATAGATCCACTCGTTTGAATTATATAGGACTTAATTGGTACATATATCGTGTCTCTGTTGTAGAAGTGTTTTGATTCATTTATTTATTAACTTGATTATAGCGTTTTTCAACCCTTTGTTGGTTATTTAAATTTGGTATTGTACGAATATGTCTTTGTTGCAAGTGAATACTGCATCTTTTTCAGAATAACTGATTTTTCAGGATAAAACTCCTACAATTTCGCCTAAATTCAGCGTCAGCAACAACAACTCACCTGCATGATAGAAATTGCAGAACAAATATTATTTACGAATTAACATGTCTCTTAATGAACAGCGTTTTTGCTCAAACCAAATTCAGGATTAATTATATTAGGCATACCACTACATGCATATCAAAAAGACTCACATTGCATCTCACTGATCACAGCACGAATAGAACCTATTTAAACACACACACTATACTTTCATATTTCGATCTCAACATACTTGTAGAAAATACGCCTATTATAGCTTCATCTACATCTAAAAAAGGTTAAAAATATTGGAAGCTTTAATAATAAAAAGCAAAACACAACAGTCAATAATATTACTAAAGAACACGGCCACAGTGTACTTCCTGTGTTCGTAAAATTAAAAATAAACACATACATATAATAATCAACATATTCAGTTAAACATAAAATGAAACATCTTTTATAATGGCTAACAGAATCGCCGAATCC